TCTACACAGTGAGACCCTGGTCTAGCAAAGCATGGCCGGTGCTTCGGAGTTGGGTAAATTTTGAGGCCAGCCTGGGCTACGCAGATACTACGAAAAGCTGGGCTGTAGCTCAGTTGCATAGCATGAAGTCCAGGGTTTGAAACCAAGTGCTGGGGGGAAGGTCAGAGTTTCACCCTTGGCTACATAAATCTGAGGCCTTTTCTCAAAACAGTATCAATCAAAGTATTTCTATCCCTAGCTTTTGGTGCCATCAAGGACAGCACACTGAGAAAAAAAACATTTATTTCACATCCCGACTAGTCTACAGAACCTGAGGGCAGGGCCATCCCCACCAAGTCTCAAAACATTCAGTGCAGGGGTTCCTGCCCTCCTCCTAGTATCTTTTAACTGCTGGGGGATATTTACATAAAGCTGGGTGTTGTCGCCAAAGCTCCTCCCTCCTGCCAGGGGCGGGAGCAAGAAGGAAGTGGTATCCAGTCCCCAGCCTGCTCCACTGCTGTCAGGCAAGCAGCCTAGGGACAGCTGGCCCAGTGGTGACCCCAGAAGACAGCGGAGAGGAAGCTGGGTAGTGAACCTGAGTGAGGAAGTGGAGAGCCTAGGGCCAGCGCTCCAAGGAGATCGGTGCATGGACCCCCAACCTTGTCTTTGGAGGAAAAAAAGATAGTTGGGGCTCCTGTGACCACAAGCTGAACGCAGACTTCCAGCTGAGGGAAAACTGGCATATGCCAAAACCAGCATATAGCGGGCACCCGCTTCTGGCTGAGGTTAGGGTTCAGGGTTATCAAAAGCAACAAGAGCTGGGCACACAGCTCGACAGTGGCACTGGGTAAGCAAATTCAAGGCCCTGGGCACCATCCCCAGTCCTGGGGGTTGGCGGTGGCGCCCCTTCGGGCACAGGCACTTCAGGTGTGTTCTGGCTGCAGCTAGAATACAGAACAGCGTGGGCTCTTTGGCTGTCAACTGGAACCGGCAAGGATTGCGGTTCCAGCAGCAAACCTCGAGAAAAGTCCAGGGGAGGGGGCAGCCCCCATGGCTGCTCAGTACACAGGGGGAGGCTGGTAGCCCTCAGTGGTCTCCACGTTCTGGGTGAAGGGTGGCTGCTGGTAGTTTTCCACAGAGGCACTGGGGTAGGAGGAGTAGGCTGTGTTGGGGTCTGGGGTGGGGTCCACATAGTTCTGAATGAAGGCATCCACTCCCACCTTGTAGCGTTGGTAGGCCAGAGAGGCCAGCACACCCTGCAGGGGAAGATGCAAGGTGTGGGCAGGGCAAGGGGACCTGGCTCTTCATGGAAACTTCTGAAGCTGCCCTCCCCAGCCCACCTACCCAGGAGAAAATGGAGAAGAAGCTGAAGGTGATGGCTGCCCGTGCCGAGTCCGCTTGCACCCGCACGTCTTCAGACTTGGTGGCTGCCCACTGGTTGGTTAGGAAGCAGAAACCAACGAACCACAGGAAAGTCCAGAGAGCTGGGGAGACAATGAGGGAAGAGTGGGCCCCAGAACATGTCTCCTGGGCCCCTGGGAATCCCGTCTGTCCCCAGGGACTCAAGGAAGGGACTCAAGGAAGAAGCCTCCCAAGGCTTTGTGCTGTGTAACCTACAGAAGCAGAGGGAAGTGAGGGCTTAGGGGTGAGTGCTAAAGAGGATGGATGAGTCCAGAAACCTGATGCCATCCTCACCCTTATGCCAACACTCTTGGGTTTCTGAAGTCTGAATGCCTTGGGTGCCATCCCAGGGTACAGGGGACTCGGGAGAAGCCACAAGTGAGGTCCATGATCCTGAGCTGCTATCGGCAACCCCTCCCGACAGCACCAAGGCCCCTCATTGTGAAGCCTTGGTGTGCCAGTGCCACAGGCATACCTGAGAAGAGCAGGTCACCGATGACCAGGTACTTGCGATCAGTAGCATTGCTTATCTGGGAGAAAAGGGCGTCGACCACGAGGAAGAAGGCTGATGCCAGGAAGGCCAGCACCCCAATAGCACTGCCATAGCGGCAGGCATCCTCGTTCTTGTTGAACACACACTGTAACTGCTGAGAATCGTGAGTGTTGCTGTAGCCCTCACCGAAGATGCAGGAGAACACGATCAAGGCCAGGACCTGGGGGGGGGGGGGGGGGCATTGGTGGGCGGGCACAGACACCTGTGGGCACATCCTACTCAGACAGACCCCTCTCGGTGCCCTCGATGAGGATCCTAGTAGGGCAGCCGCTAGCTCTTGTCTCTCTACTGATGTCCATATGGAGACCAGTGTTTCAACCCCTCTGAACTCCTGGAGTGAGGAGATGGGCAGGCGGTGGCCAGGGTGTCCACAGGTCCTCCCCATCGGGGGCCAGAGGGTAGACTGGGCTATTGTGGGAAAGGGTTACCCCCCCCTCCCCTCAAACACTGAGATCCACCTGTCTGCCTCCAGCGCTGGGATGAGGGTGTGTGCCACCAACGCCAGGCTGTTTTTGTTTGTTTGTTTGTTTGTTTGGGTTGGGTTAAGTTTTTGTTTGTTTTTGGGTTGTTTGTTTGGCGTTGGGGGTCACATTTAGTCCAGGCTGGACTCCGTGTAACCCAGGATGATCTTGACTCCTGGTCCTCCAGCCTCCACCTCCCAAATGCTGGGATTACAGTCATGCACTACCATGCTTGCTTGGGGTTCCCCAACCCTATCCCATCCTCATTGCTGTCAATTCAAACCTAGGGCCTCATACATGCAAGGCATGTGTACCACATGTTGCTGGTGGTGTTTGTGTGTTTATTTGTTTTGTTTTTTTTTTGAGACAGGGTTTCTCTGTGTAACAGCCCTGGCTATCCTGGAACTCATCATGTAGACCAGGCTGGCTTCAAACTCACAGAGATCCACCTGCCTCTCCCTCCCAAGTGCTAGGATTAAGGTCTGTATGACCATGGCCCGGCTTTTGTTTGTTTTGAGAGAGGGTCTCACTATGTGGCCCTGGCTGTTCTGGAACTCAGAATCTGCTTCTGCTTTCAGAGCAGACTGCGGTGATTAAAGGCACAAGCCACCATGCCTGCTCCTTTTTGGCTGTTTTAAGATAGAGTCTCAGACCGGAGAGCCAGCTCATCAGTCAAGAGCACTAACTGCTCTTGCAGAGGACCTGGATTTGGTTCTCAGCACCCACACTGTGACTCATAGCCGCCTGTAACTCCAGTTCCGGGTGAACAGATGACCGTTTTCTGACCTCTGTGGATACCAACCATGCACATGGTATGTATCTTCATCCGCACACGCAAACGCACACAAAAAAAGACAAGATCTCACTCTGGCTCGAGCTGGCCTGAAGCCTATGAGAATCCTCCTGCCTCAGCCCCCTCAGTGCTGAGATTACAGATGTGAGCCATCACATCCCATCTGAATGAGCTTTAAACAAGGTGGCGTAAAACAAGAGTTCCATCCAACCCTCACCCCAAGACCTTGTCCCAAGTCAACTCTATAGCGTTAAACAACATCTTCCAGACCATCCTTCAACAGCAGAGCTCGGGCCCCTCCAAGACTCCCCTAGTGCAAGTGACTCCCCAAGCCCGCCAGCCTTCCCCCTACAAGGCCTTGCTGGCTAACCCTTCCGCCTTTGGCATGCTGGCTGCTCCCCTCCAGAGAACCACAGTCTAGACTCCAGTCCCACACTTGTTTCCCTCAGAACAAGGTTCTTGGGGTGGTCAGAGCCAAAGGTCTTGTGGGCCAGGCTTAGACCTCAAGCAGGAGCCAGGGCTGAGGAGGGAAAATCACCAGCAGAAACTGTCCAGTTTGGGAAACAGCCCCTTTGGAATCACCCTAGTCATTTTGCCTCCTTCCCGCACCTCAAGACCACTGCTAAGAGCCCACCTCAACCCGGCAGCCGGAGCTGTCTGTGGGCACCAGGCAGCCTCCAGACTCCTGGGGCCAGAGCAATCCAATTCTCCCAGAACGCTCTCTATAGGGCTGTAGAACCGAAGTCACAAGCCCCGCCTCCAGCTGGAGATGAAGCCGGAACTCCAGGACCCGGCGCACAGTCTGGGTCAAGACTCCTGGCACTGCCATCCTGACTGACAGGGTACAACCCAGGACACAGTCGACTGGACTCCACCGCTAGGCTGGGAGGCTCGGGGAGCCATGGCACCTCCAAGACTCCGGGCCCAGATCCTCTGGGAGCAGTAGGCCCACCCTCAATCCCGCAGCGAAAGCCTCAGCTTTCAGTGTTTTCGTCCCACGATAGGGACACCCGCCGTATGCGCCTGGTACCAGAGGGCTTGCCCGGCTTCTGGGGAGAGAGTCCATGCTGGGTTGGTTAGAGGGCCTGTTGCTAGCCTCTGAGCGGGAAGGAAATCCTACTTCAGGACGCCACGCCACCCGCTCCTTGCACCCCACGTGGCCTCAGAAAGTCCCTTCCAGGTGAATTCCCCACGCCGGGAAGCGCGGCGTGCAGGCCACCTGCTGTGGCGTGGCCCCCGGAGCCCCACCCACTGCCAGCAGGGCGACGGGCCCGTCCCCGCAGAGCACCTCGGGGGACATCCCGCACCGGGGTGGCCGGGACGAGCGAATGAGACGAGATCCGGAGCCACGCAGTGGGACAGGCGACAGGGCGCACGGCCTGGAGGGGGACGGAGACGCGAAGGGGTGCGGGGCCCGGGCTCTCCGCCAGGCCTGGGACGTGCGGCCGCAGCCACCTGTCGCGCTCGGAAGCCGGCGGCCCACGGGGCCTGGTGGCCGGGGCGCGCGGCTCCGGATCCCCCCTGGCCGACTCACCATGCTCACGATGCGCGTCACCACCTGAGGCTGCGACACGAAGCGCCTCAGGTCGAAGGAGCCGCCCGCGTTGGCCGCGCCGTAGGCCCCGCTCTCCATGTCGCCGTCGCCGCCGAGCCGCGGATGGCCGAAAACCAGCCGGACCGACCCGCCCCGTTCTGGCCCTGGGGGCGTGGCCGGCCGCCGAAGGAGGGCGTGCCCAGCCGCCGGGGACTCGCAGCAGGGTGTCCCTCAGTGCCTGCTGCGCCCTGCCAGGTGGCAGAAACTTGGAGCTGCGCCTGCGGTGGCGCCGGGGTGGGGCAGAAGGGAGGAGAAGCTCGCCTCTGGGAGGTCTCAAGAAGAAAGGTTCAGAGAGACCCCTGGGAGAGAAACTCTTGGGCGGCCGGTCCCCACCTTACACCTACACCTGGCTTCTGGTCCACTCTAGAAAAACTCTCTAGACACCCAAATCCCATCAACCCAGAACCTAGGCTCATAAACGTTCAGATGGTCTCAGGAGGTAGAGAAGAGGAGGATAAGGAGTTCAAGACGAGCCTGAACCATCTGAGATCCTGTTTCAAAACACACAAGTGCAACAGAGAGAGAGAGAGAGAGAGAGAGAGAGAGAGAGAGAGAGGAATGTAATTTTAAAAATTAAATAAGATCATTGGTTTACAGAACCCAGCTCCTCTTCCCCGCAAAAAATAGCATTTAGACAGGGAACCAGGTGCTTATTCTGTGAAGGGGTTGTATGCTTACGTTGGCAACACAAATGGGCTGCCAAGGCAATCGTGGCTGTTGAGAGGTGTAGAGGGCTGAGGAGTAACTAGGCAGACACAAACTAGAATCAGGCCAAGATGGCACTACCATGGTCACTTCAGTGGGTAATAAGGAGTAATGAGGACATTGGCATCTCTGTAATGAGGGGCTGGACAGTAAGGGAAGTTGGGGCAGAAACCTGGCCCACCAGAAGGGGTGCATTGGGGAGAAAACAGGAATGGGCACAGTAGGAGTTGGGCTCCCCACGCTTACACAGAGGGTGGCAATTGGCTGGTGAGTGAGCACAGGGCACTCCTGGCTGTCTAACTCCTAAAATCTGCACACACACCCTGAGTGTTTGCCGAAGGAATCCCGGTGGTGGCAGGACTCTCCCACACCTCCTTCCTTCCTTTTCTTTTCTTTCTAGATTAAAAAAATAATAATAAATTTAGCCAGATTGTGGGGCATGCCTATAATCCCAACACTCAGGCAGCAGAGGCAGGCGTATCTCTGTGAGTTCGAGGCCAGCCTGGTCTACAAAGCGAGTTTCAGGACAGCCAGAGCTGTTGTTACACAGAGAGACCCTGTCTTGAAAAGCAAACAACAAACAAATAAATCTTTTTCCATTACATTGTTTTGTGCCTGGCGTGGGGGTGGGTGGCAGATGACACTGTACAGGTGACAGAGAGGGATTCTTGCAGGAGACAGCACTCTCCTTCTGCCGTGTGGGTCCCTGGGATTGAGCTCAGGCTGTCAGGCTCGGCAGCAAGCACCTTTACCCATCTTGCAAGCCCCTTTTTAGATTCTGTTGATGTTTTAATTTTGAGACAGAGTCCTACTATGCAGCCGGGCTGTCCCGGAACTCACTATGTAGACCAAGCTGGTCTCGAACTCACAGGAATCCTGCTGCTGCTGCCTCCCAAGTGCTGGAATCAAAGGTGTGCACCATCACACTCAGCGAGCACCTCAATTTTTGTTTCTATTTCTTTGTTTGATTGCTTGGTTCTTTGAGATCTGACTCATGTACCAAGATTGGCCTTAAACTCTTTCTTCTACCTCCCAAATTCTGGGATTACAGGTGTGAGCCACCACACACAGAAACCATTTACTGTTACCAAATTGTCAGTGACCCCCTCTTCAGTTACACCGCCCTCAGTGGGGAAGAGCTGGGCTCCAGTGCACACCCGCGAGCAAGCACACCCACTGGGTTACTCTAGCAAGAGCCGCCAACAGCCACTCACGGCAGGAATCCCCTACACATACACGATAATGCTCTAGATTTCAGGGCCCCTTTTGGTACCTGCAATACTTCTGGTACCCTGATCTGCATTCACTCCCCTTTCTGTCCCCTCTCCCCGGGTTCTTTTTCACTGCAGTGGTGAATTCTTGTGTAGACAGGGAAGCAAGCCTGGGGACTCTGTCTTCCGGTCACAACCTGATGACAAAGGAGTCCACGGTCCAGGTCACGCAGACTCACCCAACCTTACGGTTTCAAGAGCATCAGTGAGCTTCTTATTCACGCCACTAAAGGCATTGAATCACCAAGAGGTTACTCGCTGGCCCCTGGTCACACGGTCAGCAGGGGCTAGGTAGGCCTCTGTACTCCCATTTTATAGAGGACAACAATGAGTCTCAGAGAGGTGACATACCCTCCCGAGAGTCTAACCTCTGGATAGTCTTGGGAGGAGGAACCAGGAGCTCCAACAGGGGCCAAGCTGAGATGTTCAAGGAGACAGAACTGACCACCACCCAAAGATCTGCTCAGAGATCTGTGGTAGCTGGAGTCAGACCACACAGAGGCCCTGGCCACTGTACATGTCAGAGATGTGAAGGCTTAGAGAGGGGAACTTGGGAGGCCTCACCTTTGCAGAAAGGTTGGCTGGTGGGACCGCTGTGGGGGGCTATGCAGGCCAGAAGCCCCTGGCCCACTCTGGTCCCTTGAGGCTTCATAAGACCCATAGGGAAGTCCCCCACCAGAAGTCAGCTGAGAGCCCTGGTTAGGGTGGGATGTGAAAGGAACATGCTAGACACTGTAAGCTTTTGGCTTTAATAAGCAGCTTCAGGCTGGGTCCGTGCTGTATCTCGATGACAACCCGTCTCACAAGACTAACCTGCTGTTCCCACTTAGGACCCTGGCTGTTGAAGGGGGTGGTCGGCCTCTCGCCCATCGTCAGGCTCCCGTGGTTATTACCTGGTTGACCTCAGCATCCCGTAACTAACGGCGGCAATGGAGACCAGGCTGCCGGCCAAAATGCAGGTGGGTGTCAGGGGCAGCTCCCCTGTGGGGTGGGAAGGAGTGTGGGTTGGGCTCCTGCTAGGCCAGGGGCAAAGGAGGCATGCAGCATCCTCAGACCCATCGTGCCCTGGGCAGTGGCCAGGTCCAGCCCTTCCCCAGCCCTGCCCACCTTCCTGGACACACTGCAGCTCCTCCCTCCCCCGGGTCTGGAAGGGCCTTCTCACCTGGGGGCAGCAGCACGCGGGCGCTGCTCTCAACACTGACACCATTTACAGCTTCGCAATGGAACCAGCCAAACGTCTGGGACAGGGGGATGGAGAAGTTGGCAGGCTTCCCGTGGAGGGGTCTCTGCTGTGCGTGTATACGCCTGTCATTCCCGACCAAGCGGTAGATGATGGGTGGACTGCCTGAGGATGCCAGGCAGGACAGCTCCGCCGTGGGGCCTGAGTTCCCATCACGCAGGGTGAAGTCAGCCTGCAGCTGGGACACGGGCTCTGACAGGGAGGGAAGACAGGGCAGCACAGGTGAGATGCGGAAACTTTCAGACGCCCAATGCATCCTCCTCTTTATCTGTCAAAGGAACCCAGAGACGTAGCTGTGACTGCCACCTTCCCCTGGCAGCTTGCCAGATTGCCCTCTGCCCTGTTTGTCTAGGCTAATAGGTGGCTTGCAGCATATACTATACAACTCCATTTTAAAATATTAAAAAAAAAAAAAAACTCTTTTGGGCCAGGTGGTGGTGGTGGTACACGGCTTTAATCCCAGCACTCGGGAGGCAGAGACAGGCGGATCTCTGTGAGTTAGAGGCCAGCCTGGTCTACAAGGGCTAGTTCCAGGACAGGCTCCAAAGCTACAGAGAAACCCTGTCTCAAAAAACAAACAAACAAAAAAAAGAGGAACAATGATATAACAAAATTTGCCCAGCAGTGGTGGCACACACCTTTAATCTCCAACCCTGGCTGGAAAGAACAAACAAACAATTTTTTTGTTTGTTTGTTTTCTTTTTAGAGACAGGATTTCTTTGTGTAGCCCTGACTGTCCTGGAACTCACTCTGTAGCCTGGGTTGGCCTTGAACTCAGAGATCAGACAGACTCTGCCTCCAGAGCACTGGGATTAAAGACGCGCACCACCACCGCCTGACATCATTGGGTAATTTTTAAAAATTGTTTTGGACTAAACTCCTGCAGGGACCAGGCTAAAAATAAAAATGGACTCATAAGAGCTAGGTTCCACATCACCAAGCTAACACCGAGTAGACAGCAATCAGGATTCTCAGACAGCCCGCTTTCTAAGTTCTTAAATAGTGACCTGGCAGCACATGCCTGAAATCCTAGCCCTCAGGAATCTAAGAGAGATAAATAAATAAATAAATAAATAAATAAATAAATAAGGATACAGGGCTAGAGAGATGGCTCAGCAGCTGAGACTGCTTCCTGCTCTTGTAGAGGACCCAGTAGGTTCCCAGCACCCTTGGTGTATGGATCACAACCATTGTAAGTCTGACTCCAGGGGGCCTGATGACTCTGGCCTCCAAAGACACCTTAAAAACCACACACAAAGCCGGGCAGTGGTGGCACACGCCTTTAATCTCAGCACTCGGGAGGCAGAGACAGGCGGATCTCTGTGAGTTAGAGGTCAGCCTGGTCTAAAAGAGCTAGTTCCAGAACAGGCTCCAAAGCTACAGAGAAACCCTGTCTCGAAAAACAAAACAAAACAAAACAAAACAAAAAAAAAAAACAACTACACACAAAAAACAGGCCATGGTGGCACACGCCTTTAAGCCCAGCACTTGGGAGGCAGAGGCAGGCGGATCTCTGTGAGTTTGAGGCCAACCTGGTTTACATAGTGAGTTCCAGAAACAACTAGAGCTGTGTAGGTAGAGAGACCCTGCCTCAAAAATAAACAAACAAAAATCTTTTAATTAAAAAACAAGAAACAAACAAACAAACAAAAACAGTTGGAAACACCTGTTAATTTAAGGCCAGCCTGGACTACACTGCAAATTCCAGGCCAGGTCAACCTGGGCTACAATGTGAGACTTTACCAGTGCTGGGGATGGGGGCCACAGAGGTAGATGGATCTCTGAGTTCAAGGCCCCTTTGGTCTACACAGTGAGTTTCAGGACAGCCAGGGATACACAGAGAAACCCTGTCTCAAGAAAAAGAAAGAAGGAAAAGAAAAGAAACAAAAGATAAAAGTGCTTGCTGCTTTCAAAGACCCCAGTCTGGTTCTCGGCTCCAATAAGGCGGCCCACAACTATCTGTAACTACACTTCAGGGGCCCTGACAACCTCCTCTGGCCTCCATGGCACTACTTGTATGTGGAGCACAGACATAGAGGCAAAGCACTCATATCCATAAAATATGAATAAATCTGTAAGCTAGGCTGGAGATGTAGCTCAGTGATTGGGCGCTCACCTCGCCCGACAGGCCGCTGGCCTAGCGATTAAAGGTGAGAACTGTGGGGCAGGATGGTAAGCTCCTTCAGACACAGGCCACCGCTTAGAAGAATGGAGGTGCTGGGGTCTTCAGGACTCCGCTGAGCAACCCCGCTGACCAGAAGCTAACTGTCCCATGCCTGCACTTAGCCCCATCAGTGCCAAGTGTCACCTCCCTTGCACCTTCCTAAGCCCACCCCCCTCCCCGGGGTGTCCTGTTATCATCTTGCTTCACAGGCAAAGCAATTGAGACCCAGACACGGAGAGACATGCTCGAGACCCCACAGCCAGCTCACAAGGCGATCCCTGCCTTCCACATGCTGGGCTTCAGACCCTGGGCGCCTGCTTTTAGGCTCTTGGCCTTGGTGTTTTTGGAGGGTGAGGATGCTGGACTCATGGAGGCCAGCAATACTTCCTCGTTCCTATTAACAGAGAGTGCTTGGGTGGAAAGGGAAGAAAGAAAGGTGGGGGGGGGAGCGTGGGAGATGAAAGCAGATGTGGTCACTACGGGTTGTCTAAGCAACACCCTCGACCTCAGAGAACGTTAACTTCCACAATGGCAGTGAGGAACCTGACTGACTGCCCCCCCAAGGGTGTGGATGAGACAATGCCTTGACGAGCAGCTCCAGTCAGACCCACTGAACCTTCTGGCCCCTGCTGGGAGACTGTGCCCTCTGGTCACCCACGGACTGGGAACAGCCTTGGAGGCAGGCAGTCTGCTCTGCCCTCTGTCCCCACTCTGCTGCCTCCTCCTGTCTCCCCCACCCCAAAGTCCACCATCCCCTCCCCCAACCCCTCCATGGATCCACATCCCACCAGCCTCACCAACCTGCACCCTCTGTACTCACTGGTCCACAACTCCCAGGACATCTGCAGCTGGCTGCTGGGCCCATAGGTGCCCAGATCAGAGGACGCTCGGCAGGAGTAGGTGAGCAGGTCTGGGCTGGACTTGAGCGTGACGTTGATGTTGAAGGAGGCTGGCTTGTCATCACGCACAACCCTTTTTGCCACCAGGACCCCTCTGCTAGCCATGAGAGAGTAAGTGATGGGCCGGGGTGCCTCAGGGCTGTCGCAGGTTATAAGCACCCGGCGGCTTTGAGGGTAAACTTCCAGCACTTTGTAGGCAATGGTGATGTCTGGGAGGTGAGCAAGTCAGGGAAAGAAAGAAACCAAGATGGACCAAGTACTTTAAAACTCTGGTTTGATAATTCTTCAAAAAGTTAATAGTCGAAGCTGGACAGAAGACCCAGTGGTCAAGAGCAGTCCTAGGAGATCTGGGTTTTGGTTTCCGGCTTGTATCTGTCAACTCACAACCACCGGTAACTTCAGGACTGGGGGATGGACATTCTCTCCTGGCCTCCAAGGGCTCCTGCACGAAGGTGGTTCACCAAAACTCACGCAGATACATACACACATAAGCAAATAAATTTTAAAAATTTTAAATGATTTATTTGTTTTAATTTTGTATGCATTCGTGTTTTGCCTGCCTGCATGTCTGTCTGTGTGAGGTTGTCAGATCCCCTGAAGCTGGAGCTACAGTCATCTATGAACTGCCATGTGGGTGCTGGGAATTGAACCCAGGTCCTCTGGAAGAGCAGCCAGGGCTCTTAACCCACTGAGCCATCGCTCCAGCCCCACAAATAGGTTTTTTAAAAGAAGTGTAAACATAGGGGTTGAGAGTGTATCTCAGTGGTAAAATATAAGACTAACAATCAATTCTAAGACCCTGAGTTCAGTCTCCAGCACCATAACAAAGGTGGGGGAAGTTAAAAGAATTAGTGACTTAGTGACGGCTCAGCAGGTATTCTCCAGGACACATCCCAACAGAATCAAAGACAGACTTGGACGGATCACGGATCCGTCACACACATGTCAGGGCGGCTCCGGTCACAGCTACCCAGAGGTGGAAACACCTGCAAACCCTAAAAGTGGAACACGGTCTGTGCAGGGGGTATGATCTGATCTGAGGATGAACGATGCTTTAGAGCCAGGCATGGGCAAGGTCCTCAATCTCATTTCCAGTGAGGTCAAGAAGAAGAAATGAGCCCCAGCCATTTCTCGATGCCATAGCAACAATATAAGGTGACTCCATGCCCTGGAGTCAGACAGGAGGGAAACTGCTGTATAAGTACGCTTTGGGGGCTGGGGAGACGGCTCAGTGGTTAAGAATGCTTGCCGCTCAGTCACACTGTGGCTCACAACTGCCTGTAACTCCACTCCCAGAGGGAATCCAAACCCTCTGCTGGGTTCTGTGGGTATTGCATGCATTGGTGCACAGACACACACACACACACACACACACACACACACAGAGGGGGGGAGAGAAGGCATGGTCTCAGCCTTTGAGAGGCAGAGGCAGGCAGATCTCTGTGAGTTTAAGGCCAGCCTTGTGTACATAGTTTACATAGCTCCAGGACAGCCAAAACTACACAGCAAAACCTGTCTCAAAGAAGAAGAGGAAGAGATAATTAACATCCCAGACTCCTGACCATATAGGTTGCCCTTGCTCTACTAGGCCTGGACACTGTACAGTACCCGTGGGCCACACAGCTTTAATCCCTGTACTAGGGAGGCAGAGTCAGGTGAATCTCTGAGTTTAAGGCTAGCCTGGTCAACAGAGTGAGTTCCAGGACAGTTAGAGAAACCCTGCCTTGAAACCTCCACCCTCTGCAAGAAAATAGAAAGAAGAAAAACTCCCGTGGAGAGGCTCCAAGCCCAGGACTCCCCAAGTTTCTGACCACTGTACCCACTTTCTTTCAGATCCTAATTTCTGCCTCAGGGGAACTTGTGTCTACTGCACTTCAGCTGAGTGCTGAGGCCAGGGACCCCATTTCACACCCCACAGCAGGGAGTGACCGGCTGGGACAAGAGCAGCCCCTGGAAAGAGGACAAGTTCTGGAGACACCTGCCCCAATCTTTGTTTTGGTTTTATGAGACAGGGTTTCCAGTCCTGGCTGTCCTGGAACTCACTCTGTAGACCAGGCTGGCTTCAAACTCACAGAGATCCACCTGCCTCTGCCTCCCAAGTGCTGGGATTAAAGGCATGTGCCAACACCCCCTGACTTTCCTGTAGCTTTTTAAACATTGTGAGGAGGTTTTTTTGTTTTTTGGATTTTTTTTTAATCAAAATAGATTTCTAATTTGGGATATCAGACCTAACGTCACTGCCAGACCTTCTCTGGTCTCCATCTGGCAGACTTGTAACAAGACTCCTGTCATTTGACCTTTGGGGACAACAGGTCTTATCAGTGTCTAAAGAGGTGTTTGGGGCTGGACTCTGTCTCACTGGGTGGGAAAGGAGTTGAGGGCCCAACTGTGGTTACACGTTTGTTTGTTTTTCTGCTCCCTTCATGAAGAGCAGTGAGCCTGACTTATAAAAGTGAAAAGAAAAAACGGTCCCTCTCATTTCCATTTTGGCGGCCCGGAATAGAAGCTTGGTTTGCATACGTGGGGACTGGAAGCGCACTAAGACAGCACAGTTGGCGTCCTGAGGTGGAAATAGAAAAGATCCCTCTCTACACGTGCCTGCTGCGGTGGCAGCTGCTGGGTCCTGTCGTTCTGTTCTGCTTTTGTTTGTTGAGACAGGGTCTCACTATGATGCCCTGGCTCTCCTGAAGCTCACCGTGTAAACCACACTGGCTCAGAACTCACAGAGATCCTCCTGCATCTGCCTCCCAAGTGCTAGAATTAAAGGTGTGCCACCAGGACTGGTACCACCTCCCTCCCCCTTTTCTTTTAAAGACAGGGTCTTACTGTAGCCCAGGCTTGTCTCCACCTTGCTGAGGATGACCCTGCCCCTCTGAGCCTCCTGCCTCTAACTCCCAGGGACAATGGTCGTGGACCCGCATGCCCCACTGATGCTATTGATTCTAACAGCACAGAGTTCTCGTTCACTTTTGCCCTCTGTCCCTGCAGGAAGAGTGGCTTCTCTTTCTGTACCTGTTTTATCCTTGTGGCCGGCAACAGTGCCAGCAACCAAACGTCCTCTGAGAAGATTTGTGAAGGAACAAAGTCAGCCTTCAGAAGCCTCCTCTGCAGGACTCCACCAGCAGAGCTGAGCAGAGGCCATGGGCTAAGGGGACAGGAAGGCAGCATTGCCTCTGCCCAGGTACTTTCCTGAGAACTAGACACCAGCTCTTTTTTTAGCTATGACACTAATAACCTTTTTCTTTTTTACAGAAATGAGGAAATGGTAGTTTGGTCTGTGCCTCATCCGACTGAGACCTTCGTCAACACCACCCTGCACCCTTCCTTAAGCAGAACAGAAGGGGATGCCCAGGGACGCAAGGCGGCAGACAAGGCATGGAGGTGACTGCCTGCCTCACCCCGAGGGGCACAGAGATGAGGCTGAGTGGCAAGGGAAGGTCCAGGTAGGAGGGGCAGGGGAGGAAGCAAAGAGAAAGATGGAATAGGCCAGGGACTGTGGTCTTTCCCTGACTTTCTTTCCTCCCTGGCTCTGTACCTGGGCTGTTGGGGAGAAGAGGAGAGAGGAGGGGGCAGGGAAGGAGAAAGAGAAGGGGGAGACAAAAAAGGGGAGGAAAAGAAGGGGAGACAGAAAGACATGTGTGTATATATACATATATATTACAGACTATACATGCATATATCACACACTATATATGTATATATTATACATTATATATGTGTATACATTACACATGATACAGATACACATATATATAACACACTATACAGGTATATATTACATGCCATACATGTATATATTACACACCATACACATATATATTATGCGCCATACATGTATATGTTACATGCTATACATGCATATACATTATACACTAGACATGTATATATTATACACTAGACATGTATATATTACACACTATACATGTATATATATTACACACATATGCACATGCACACTCCCCCCATATATTAAGAAAGAGAGAGAGAACAGTCACTCTCAGCTGCTTCCAGAACAAGAAAACTTAATGTTTAAGTACTCCTTCCTCCCTCCCCTCCCTCCTCCCCTCCTGAGGGTCCCCCCTCTAGGGAAAGAGCACCCTAGAATTTTCTGGCCTTCTCTGGATCCCACCCATTAAGCAGAGCTGTGGGCCTTGGGGCAGGGGAATTCTCCTCCCTATGAGGACCTGGGGCCTTGTGACTGGAACACAGCTGCTGAGGACCCCTCCTCTTCACACTGCAAACTTCCTCCTCTCTCCATGCACCCCAGAGGCCTCCTAATGGCCTCACCCAGTCCTGCAGGGGTGGAGCCAGAGTTATCCATCTGAGTTCCCCCTCTCCCCTTCCTCACCATTAGTAACCTCTTTCCGGCCAAGACACCTGCCACAAGTGTGCAGCTCTGGCCGAGGTGCCCCCAGCTAGATCCTTCCCACTGCAGCGTGAGGGCTACTCACCTTCTGTTGGCTCCCCTGCGAAGCTGCAGGCAGCTGTAAAAGAGGAGAGGGGTAAGCGGAGCTGGGCAGAGGAGGGAGACAGCCCAGACAGCTCCCTGCCCAGGCTGAGCCCTAATAGCAAGGCCTCTGGAACCAGATGGTGGCTCTGGTCTGACTGCATGTTTTATTTTACTTCACACAGGCTCTCTCCTATATTCCAGGCTGGCCTTGAACTCACTATCTCCCTGAGGGTAGCCTAGAACTCCTGATCTTCCTGTCTCCAAGTCCTGAGTGCTGGGATTTCTGGCATGCACCTGGCTTGTAAGGAAAGTCTTCTGCACAGTCTCACACTTGGAATCCCCAGGGCAGGAAAGTTAATGGGAATCGGAATCAGGAGAGATGACCGTGCAAGCATGGTGACCCAAGTTCGGGTCCCTGCTTGGGCCGATCGAAAAAGGTGGGTGTGGGGCGTGTTTCAACGGCAGTGTTGGGGGAGCAGCTAGCCAGTCTAGCTGAAACTGCAAGCTTTAGGCCAGTGAGAGCCTTTGCCTCCAAAACTAAGGCAGGGAAGAGATTGAAGAAGACACACTCTTAATGCTCAATGTCTGGTTTCCATAAGCAACTACACTGGCAACTATAAACACACACACACACACACCAGTGGAATCGAGGTGATGCCCTGCGTGGTCATACATGCGTGTGTCATCTATGGGGCTGATGTCAGCATCCTGCTCAGCCCCCTCCCCAACACACACACACACACACACACACACACGCACACACACGCACACACACGCGCACACGCACACACACATCCACCTTCTCTCCCTCTGGTGCGTCTACCTTCAGTTCTTTCTCTGGACTCTCGGACACCCCTTTCCCTGAGCCCTAGTTCCTCAAGGCCCTTCCCTTGGTGTCTGCAGGAGACTCACCCAGCACAGCCAAGAAGTGCAACAGAAGGAGCCTCATGCTTCTGCGGGAGTGGGGCTGTGTGGGGCCTCCGCTCAGGCTTTCTCATCTGCCCTCTCCACCCTAAGGCCCCTGGATGCTCTTTGGGAGGCTGCCTGCAGCTTGGAGATAATTTGAAGGTTGTGGCTATCCAGGAGGCCCCCAGATACCCTGCAGGGCTGGCTCCAGAGTGTCTGTGTCCTCCCTGGTACCTGTGGGGGAGGGAGTGAGGCTGTGTCTACTGAGTTCCAGATGGTGTTCAAACAAAGGCCTTTCTTTATCAAGGAACTTTTATTTTATTTTATTACTTTTTTGTTTTTGTTTTTCGAGACAAGGGTTTCTCTGTGTAGCCTTGGATATCCTGGAACTCATTCTGTAGAACAGGTTGGCCTCGAACTTACCAAGATCCACCTGCCTCTGCCTCCCAAGTGATTAAAGGTGTGTGCCACCACCGCCTGGCCTATCCAGGAACTTGGTAAAAAAAAATTATGATTTATTTTTCTTCTGTGTACACTGCTGTTTTGCCTGCACATACATCTTTGTGAGAGTGTTGGATCCCCTGGAACTGGAGCTATAAACAGCTGTGAGCTGCCATGTGGTTGCTGGGAATCGAACCTGGGTTCTTTGGAAGAGTAGCCAGTGCTTCCAACTACTGAGCTGTCTCTCTAGCCCCATCAAAAAGGGGTTTTCTTTATCAAGGAGCCCTGGGGTGATCACTGCTAGGAAACAGGGAGGAGAGGTGCTTTGGTCCACGTCTATTGCTTGTATCTGACCCCACTGACAGGGCACCTGGTACAGGTGCTGTGTTCTGTATTGGCTGAATGAGTTCCCAGTGAGACCCCAGGGTGGATGAGGTTCTCCCTCACCTGAGAGTATGGGGCTGTGTGCCTAAGGCTGTTCTCATTAAAGGAGTCCAGAGAAAGGCAAAGTCTCCCCTTACGGACCCGAACTCAGGCTAACCTGAACAAAAGAGAGTAGGCCATGCTACCAATCCTAAGGCCACAGCAGGGCCAGACCCACTGGGTCTGAGAGACACAGGGCACCAAGGAAGCAGATGATATGACCACTAGAACATGCTACCCCACGAGAGGCTGCTCATATCTGCCCACCCATGCTGTGGGCTCCTCGCCCCAGTCCAGGCCCGGGCCTGCAGACCAGTTGTGGCTTTCTGGGCATGCTCAGTAACTTCTGAGCAAACACCCACTTTGGCGGTTTCATTACAGTTGAGGTCCCCCACTGCCAGGTCACCTCCTGTGTCAGTAGATGCTCTACAGAGCCTGGCTGGCAACCGCACTCAAGTCCCACCCTGCCCCCTGGGAAGGCACCCTGGATCTAGGAGGGCCCCTCCAGCCTGGTCCCCTCTGTGGAGGCCTGGTTTTATCAGGAAGCTGTTTGAGCAGAGGGAAAAGCCATGGGAAGAGCCAGCAAAGGTATCAGGTCACCTGGACACCCACCCACTGTGCTCCTCACGGTGAGGTCCTTCCTGCCAACCGCCTTGAGTCAGTTCTCCACTGAGCACCCACAGCCTGGCATCTCCCCCAAGGATGGAGCCTGCATCCCATGCCCACCTCTTCAAGTTTTTCCAGTGGGAGCTGAGGAGGGTGAGAACATTTTGACTTAGTTTCCAACAAAACCCCTTTTATTTAAAAATTAGGTTTTTTTTACTTAAAATATTTATTTACATTTTATGAGTATGCATGTATGCCTGAGTGCATGTATGTCTACCACGCGTGTGCAGGAGCCTGTGGCAGTCAGAAGGCGTCGGAGGCCCTGGTGCTGGAGCACAGGTGGTTATGAGCCAACACTGGGTGCTGGGAATCGAACACAGGTCTTCTGCAAGAGCAGCAAGTGCTCTTGATGGCTGGGCCACCTCTCCAGTCCCTATCTCTTTACATTTGAGGCAGGGTCTCCCAACCATGGTCCTGGGCTAGCAGTGCCCCTGGTACCCATCACCCAAGCCCTGGCACACACCAGAAAGGTGCCACCTGGGCCTCCAGCACCATGACCGCCTTCTCAGCGTCCCAACTGCCCCAAGCGTGGACCATGTAGCCCCCACTGCACGCCTTCCTCAGCTCCCTGCACCTGCCCATCTCCTGCTCACATCCTCTCTTTCCCCAAAGCCGTACCTGGGAGGACATCAACAAGCCCTCCCTCCATGCCGGGCGATGGTGGCACACGCCTTTAATCCCAGCACTCGGGAGGCAGAGGCAGGTGGATCTCTGTGAGCTCGAGACCAGCCTGGTCTACAGAGCTAGTGCCAGGACAGGCTCCAAAGCCACAGAGAAACTCTGTCTCGAAAAACAAAAACAAAAACAAACAAACAAAAAAAAAACAAGCCCTCCCTCCAAGGTGCCATTGCCAGAGGGCCCCTGGTTAGCTTCTGGTTGCCAGCAGGTCTCAAGCCCCCTTTCTACCCCCCACACTGTGTCTTTTGGGGCACAACTTCACAATGTTTTGTTTAGTTTTATGTCAATGTTATTTTTAGGTGTTTTTTTTATTATTATTTATTTGTCTGTTTGAGGCAGGGTCTTACTTTGTAAGCTGTCCTGGAACTCACTAAGTAGACCAGGCTGAACTTGAACCTACAAAGACTCCTATCTGCCTCCAGAGTGCTGGGATTAAAGGTATATACTACAATGCCTGGCTTTTTTTTTTTTTTTTTTTTTGTATATTTGACACAACTTCTACTGTATTTCGTGGCTGATCTGTAATTCTGTAATTCATTATGTAGACCAGGCTAGTCTCAAACTTAAGGCTATCCTTCTGTCTCTGCCTCTTAAGCACTTGGCATGTGCTACCATGCTGGACTAGTTTTGTCTGTGAGACAGGATCTTGCTTTGTAGTCTAGGCTAACCTCAACCTCATAGTCTCCTGCCTCAGCTTTCAAGTGTTGGAATTGTGTGAACCTTGAGCCTGGCTGCAAAAACAACAAACACCCAGGTGGTGGTGCACACCTTAAATCCCAGCACTCAGGAGGCAGAGGCAGGGGGATCTTTGGGTTTGAGGCCAGCCTGGTCTACAGAGTGAGTTCTAGGACAGTCAGAGTTACATAGAGAAATCCTGTCAAAACAAAAAATAAAAACCAAACAAAACGAAAACACACACACACACATACAAAAAAAAAACCCCACAAATAAACAAAGAACTACAAAGATGACAAGTGAACTAGAAGGACCCATTGTGGCTGGCCTTACAGCTCATGGTTTAGAGAGGCCGGGACAAGAGTCTGGTTCCCACCGACTTTGCTACAGCTGCCGTTTAAAAAGCTGTTAATGAAGCTGTCACTTTTTACCTGGATAGCTTGTGAATTCCCTCCCACTGATCGCCAGAGCCTGCCTGTGCCCCTCCTGGTCTTGTTGCCCTGTCCTGCCCTGTCTTTGTGTCCCGGGAACGGAGACAGCATCTTCCAAGAACACCTCCTACAGTGCATTCTCTGCATGTCTCGGAGTGTAGGCCTGAACACACCACCTAGACCCTGGCACTTAGAAGCACTTAATTGGTTTTGGGAGGGGGAGGTCATGTGATGGCCAGGCAAGCAAGGCAAGGTCAGCCACAGGAGGATCTGAACTGCCAAGTCTTCAGTGGTCACCTGAGAAGACTCCAGTCTCCAGGGCAGAAGTCCAGGCAGGAGCTACAGGCTCTTCAGCTGGGTGGATGGCCCATGCCTGTCACCCTAGTGCTTGGGAAGCAGAGGCAGAAGGATCAGGAGTTCCGGGCTGCACGCTGGCCCTGCCTTTGCAGCACCCTTGAACATACCACCTTCCAGGGCCACCTGTACAGCACACTCTCCACAGGTCTCAAAGTGCAAGCCTGCACCTGCCCCGAGAGCCTGGAGGGGAGGAACCGTCACCCCTCAGAGGCTCAGTCAGTTCACAGGAAGGCCTAGAGAGAGAACAATGTTTGGCAGGGGTGTGGCTGTGAACCCTGAGCTGCTTGCTTTCCCCAAGGGACCCAGATGTCACTCAACTTCAGAAAGTCACTCTCAGGATCAGGCCGGACCCAGACCTCATTCCGGTTTAGTGTGTCTTGGAGGCCATGTATCTGGCTCAAGCTCCGGCCTGACCACTTGCTGAGCACAGGTAGATGGTAGAATGTGGGGGGCATGGAAGAGCCCTCAGTGCCCGGAAGCCTGTTCCAGACCAGGGCTTGCAGCGTCATGGTGAGAGGTATACAAACACTTCTGAGAACCCCTTCCTAAGAAATTTGAATGCTTCTAAAAAAAGTACATAAATTTTATCCATGAGTTGATATACACACCATTATGTACACTATAAAACACTCAATAAAACATTTGAAGGGATTAGACAAAATAAAATAGAGGTAGACATTCTCATGTTTTTCCTGCTGACCTGAGGATGAAGCCTGGGGCCAGCTGTAGGCAGTGGCTTCTGAGACTAGGGATCCTTGGGTAACGGATAGGAGTGGAGGCGCTGGAGGAAGCTGTGGCAGAACCGGGGGTGGGGTGGGCTGTGGGGCGATCAGCGCTACATCTCTGTGCGGCTAGGGAAGTGAAATCTGGAGACAGGAACCGAGGCACTGGGGGTTCCGGAGCTCGAGGAGCTCAGCCTGGTGGAGGGTCCCAGCCGGGGTGTCCTGGGGCCGGGTGAACCTGGGCACGGGAATCCGGGGCAGAAGGACCGCGGACGCGAAGCTCGAGAGCGAGGGCGAGGGGACTCGGGCTCCGGGCTCAGCTCGGGCAGCAGCCGCGACAAGTCGTCCACCAGGTGCCACTTCTCCTGGACCTGCTGCAGGGAAAAATTAAGGGACCAGCTGTTAGCTTGAAGCAAACCGCAGCCAGAAGCCGCGCCCACAACGCAGTCTGAGGAGGTTCTCAACGCCGTCGGAGGCCACCTCGAAGCCCGGCCCCTAATTTAGGACCAGGCAGCACCACGCCCCGCTTCCAACAGTCCCAGTCCCGCCTCAGACCACGCCCACAACCTAAGGCTCCGCTTCCAAGGCCACGCCTCCACCGAAGTAGGCTGCCAGTCAAGCTTCACACTCCCCAAAGGTTTGTCAGAAGCGCAGTCACTCACCCACACCAGCTGCTTCCGCAGCCCTTGGATGGCTCTGGCGTTCGCCCGGGACTGGGAAACGCACACGGTCAGGACGAGGCTTAAAGCAGATAGAAGTGCAGGTC